CGTGCACATTGGGTGTGAACGCGGCCGGGGGCTCGGGCATCTCGAAGATGTCGCTGGGAGCCTCCGTTGCTTCGGCTGCTGCTGCTCGCCATGGTGGAATGACCTCCGAGGCTTTGGGCGCCGCAGCTGTCGCTGCCACCGAGGGCGGCATTGCCTTGGGCGCCACGGGCTGCGCTGGAGAGGGTACTGCCTCAGTGTCCGGGGGTGGCACGGTGCGCGGCTTCTTGGTCTTGGGAACAGGGACTGGACTCGGGGACGCGCTCGGGGAGCGAGGGCCTGCTGAGGACTCATCTTCACTGGAGGTGCTCTCTGGCGATGATGATCGATGTGGAGCCTCAGGGGCGTCGGCCACGGGGAGAGCGACTGGCTCTGCGGTGCTGGGCACTGCGACGTTCGCCAGAGGGGTGTGCTCGACGTCCTCGGCCACCACATAGCGCTTTGCCAAGCAAGCCTGAGCTGGATGCTTCCCTCCGCAGGCACGGCCAGTCTTCAGCACTATGGCACAAAGGTGGGCTTCACCACAGGTTCCCTCGCCCACGTGGCAGGCGTCCAACTGAAAGTTGGGGCATAGCGCCTTGCCGTTCCTCAGGAAACGGGTGACCACCTTGCCATTGATGGAAGGGGGCATCACAGCTTCGGAGCGCTTGGAACTAGCTTGCGCCGCTCTTGTGAGCGCTGCACGCTCTCGCGAGAAAGCGAACGCGCGCTGCGCTGCTGCCACCGACACAAGCTGTGCTTGTCGAGGCTCACTGCCCGCTGCACCTCGGGCTTGGCCGCGTCCACTGCGGCAGTGATGGCGGCTGGAGTTGCCAGTTCCCAGGCATCAAATTCGCCCAACCTGGCGACAAGTCCCAGCGACAGATGTTTGAGCCTCATGCTAACGAGATCACGGCTGCCTGCGTAGTGTGTCGGCATGGCGGCCTCCTGAGGTAGCTCACTCTTGGATTGCCAATCCCCCAAGGCCACCATCTCAACCGGGGTGTACTTGGCCAGCAACGCCACCGTGGGCATGAGCCGGCGCCACGAGTAGGTGGAGAGGTCGGCCACGTCGGTCACAAGGTCCTGGAACAGCTCACGACCTGCGGCTTGCACCTCAGAGATGTCCCACGCGCGGCCTTCCCGATTGAAGCAGAGGCCGCCTTCATCTCGTTGGGCCTCGGGCAACTGGTTCCGAAGGGCCACCACATGCTCTGCCCAGGGCCAGCCATCTGTGAACTGCGAAGGGATGGAGAAGTCGAAGCCATCACGTTTGCTCGCCTGCTTCCCTTTGGGGCAATGGCAGTACATCGTTGAGCGGGACAATCGCACCATCTGAGCACGTTGGACATGCCGGTAGCGTAGTACCCCTACGCCGACGATCCAACTTCCCAGCATCGCAGTCCAGCGAGGGTCCTGTCGGGTGAAGGCTTCCTTAATGCCACGCTCCAAGTGGGTGAGCATGGGCGGCTCGACAACGAGAGCCTGGGATCGCGCAGCGGCCCGCCGTGAGGCAGGTGGATCCAGCACGATCGCATCCAACTGCCACCCCAAATGCACCAGTTTATTCAACCAGCGAAGCGAGTTCAATGCCCGCTTAGGTCCTTTGGAGCCGGAGGCCAGGAATGACGCCAAATCCAAATGCTCGATCGTAGTCCTATCTCGAGAACGCATAAAGCTGACCAATTCCGACCACGTGCGCACAGCGTTCACCACTGTCTGAGGTTCCGATTTGGTCACTTTGACCTGCGCCAATCGAGTGAGTTGCAGTTTCCACTCCGCTAGGATCGCATCTGAGAGGTTCCCCACGGAAGGGCGATGAATCCCGGCGTCCTCAAACACCTTGGCCAGCGCTTCCACTCGCCTGTTCACACTGTCAGCACTGAAAGCTTGTTGAGAAAGGGTCACTCCCTTCCGAACAGGCACTGGAGGAGCGGGTAGGTGAAGAGCATGTGCCGGCCTGTCGCGACTCGAGCCAGCTTCCACTGTAGAGGCCGCCAACGGCATCAGCTCCTCAGTCTGCTCGGAGCGGGCCTTGGTCCAAGCATCGGCCAATCCCCGGCCCCCGGCCAACAAGGCCTCTTCCGCTGACCGAAAGGCAAAGGCGAAGTCCGCGTCGTCCAAGAGGTGGTATTGCTCCCTGAACTCGCGAACACGGGCGGCTTGGGCCACTTCAGACGAGGTCTCCGGGTCCCACCTGGAGCTCCCCGCTGACTCGACCGCATAGCGCCCCCTGTCAGCCATGAGCCCTGCAAGGACTATCGCACTAGTCTGAGCCAGAACTGTCGATGCACAACGGGCACTGCCGTGACCAGAAGTTGCAGCTTTCACAAACGATCGATCGACAGACTCGACAGGACTCGAACGTGGGCAGGCGACAAAGGAGGCAGAGGGGGGGGATGTACTCAACGTCATAGGCCACGGCCCCCAGGATCGCACGGATGGATCGGCCTGCATTCGCGACTTCCCGGGGAATACCTGGGGTCCCAACCAGGGACGACCATGGTTCCCGCCATGGCCGCCTCCCCTGCTGCCAAAGCCGAACCAGCTCGAAGAACTCCTCGGTGTCGATGCCATCGTCCCCGTCGTCCAGCCGCTCCACGGCAGGGAGGGACCCTGTTTTCCCATGAGCGAGTTGGGAACAAGCCTTGCTGCCTACACCAGGTACCAGGTGATCCATGCCGCCGCGTGGATGGAGTTCAGCGCTCACCTTCAGGAGCTGGTTGCTGAGGGGCGCGAGCGGGAAGCTTTGCGTCTCTGGGCCTCCGTGGTGGAGTTGGTGCATCTGGGGTCTCCAGGGCAACCCCTCTCCATCGCTGGGTTCCCCCCGGTTCGTCGGTTCGTATGTACCACCATTCCGTGTGCAAGGCGCACCGACCGTCGGGGCGGCTTCCAGTTCCCATGGGTGGGCGTATGGAACCGCCGCTGCTTGCTGGTTCAAGAGGGACTTGGGCCAGCGGTCGCGTGGCAGCGTTACCATGCCTCTGCGGCGCGCTTGGACCGCCTGGCGCTGCAGTGGATTGCCTTTGACCTGGGCCCGTTGGACATCTTGCCGGTCCACGTTGGTTTGTGCACAAAAAAGAACTGTCTCTCCAAGGGTTCCGCCCTCAAAAAGAGAGAACAAACGCTATTTTGGCCAAGTCACTTGAGCCAAAACATTCGTTGGTTCAAACCTATGGCAGTAATGAATACATGTTCACCCAAGCCTGCCAGACCTGAAACATGTTTATATATATGTTCCAATGTTTCAAATACGATGATTTTTACACTGAACTCGCCTTTTTACTGCATGTTTACTCCCATGATTCAGTGCCCTTTGCTCGGGCCCCATGCAGCTTTCTTGCTTCGGTGCCAGGGCCGATCTTCCTGCTGCATGGCCAACCTCGGCGAGGCCAAACGCCTTGCCTTCGCTGCCACAACCCTCCGCAACTCATCGATGTGATATAATATATTGTATACACTTGCACATAACACATAATATATAGATAGATTTTCACCCTATTCCCTATTAGATATAATATATCAATATATATATATATATCAATTATATCTCTATTATAAAAGAGAATAGGAAAAAAGCATCCAAAGGATAATTGATAATTGGGTGTCTCTATTTCAAATAGAGAGAAACGAATGGGTAGACTGGTATATTTCCCTTCTTCCAGGGGTCGTTGCCTGGGAGGTCTCCCTGTTTTTTTACACCCAAATTGAATCCAAATTGAATTAGACTGAACACAGGGAGGGTTGGGATGCCTCTTTGATTCCAGGTTCAACTACGAAGCAAACAGAAGACAACTCCCGTCCTGTAATCCATTTTGGACCATCAAGATGGTGCAAACATGCTGTTTCCTAGCAGGACAGCTGTGTCCCCAGACACCATCAGCTGACTAGTTAGTCACAGCCACTCAGCCAGCTCGCGGTCAGCCCACCGTCATCGGACCGCTCCTGGACCGATCCTCAGACCCCCCGGCCGATTCCACCGCTCGCAGCGCCTCTCGCGCTGCGGTCGCGAGGCCTGCGCCAGGGGAGGTGAGGTGAGGACGGCAGCCAGCCACAGGGCGAGTTCCGAACTCGGAAGTCCCAAACCGGTGTTGCGTTTCGTGTTAGGGAAAGGTGATGAGTTCATCTTGCCAAAGACTTAGTGAATATAGGCTGGAGGAGCTGGAGCAGTCAACCATGGTCATTGGCATGAGGTTCCCACATGAAATGGAAGAGAGAGGACTCATCACAGCACTTTGCTGAGGGCTTCTACTGTAGATGCCACTCAGATGGACAAACTAATCATGACATTATATATTTAAACTTTCACTCGGTTTCATCCAGCGGCACAAGCCAAAAGATGCCAGCTGCAAGCAGCAATGAACACCCAGACCACACAACAGGAGGGCTTGCCCGACAAAAAACCTCTCTGACTTCCAAGGAAGCAGCCTGATTTATACCCGATGTCATCGTATCTGGCAGCGGGAAATACCATGGCAACGGTTGGTTCTTGGGTTCAGCACTCTTTCTCCCTGACCCAAGCTCAACTTTGTTCAGCCATCTGAGTGTAGGTCACTAAAGGCTTCAACTGCAGTCTGTTCATTGAAATCAGTTCACCAATCGCTTTCCAACACCCAGACTCACACATTCTGCAACATCTTTGGTTGCTTCCTCTGGCCGCCCATCGTCTGAACATGAATATCTTGGCCGCGCGTGTCAAGCATGACAAAGCTCCACATTCCACTGTCTTCGACTCAGGCTTTTCTTCCACGGATTTATAAATCCTACTACATATAATATGTTTCCTCCAGGATTCCAGTGTCTCCCTCAAAGAGCTTCGTCAATTTTTGCTTCAACGTCCAACCATAACTCACACTAAACAAGGCTCAAACCCAGAACGCTCCCCAGTCAAAAAGTCATCATGACAACCAAGAGAAACAATAACAGCAACCAGATAAAACAGCAACCAGATAAACAGCCCATTTCTGTAGTAGCTAAACAACCCTTCTTCTTCTTCTTCTTCTTCTTCTTCTTCTTCTCATTTCTCAAGATGTGCTGGTCACGCGCCACTTCTGTGCACCCGTGGACACCAGTCCTCCCCAGTGCCCCGGCGCCGCCGGGACCCATGGCGCACGCGGCTCCAGCGTCGGGTCCGGCGCCGGCGACGGCGTGTCGCGGCGCACGCGGCGCGTGCAGCCGGTAGCTGTGTTGCGTTGGAGCTTCGATTTCCTTAGATAAGAGGAGCATATTTTGGAGGTGATTTTTGGGGCAGCGCTCCTTTTTCCAGACCCTTTTTTCTTTGGGTGAGGTTTCGGAGAGGTCCCCATGAAAAACACCCAACACCTCCAATCCGGAGGCTTGTTGCACTCAACTGGAAATCTGGTATTAAAATCACTTGCAAAAACATGGCAAAAACACGAGAAATATCGAGAACTCATAAGCAATGTTGCTCCAATTCACTTTATGCTTGTGCTTTCGTCAAAAGAAACAAAAAAACATATTATTATTATATATTATATTATATAATATTGAGAGGGGAGCGCTGTGAGCGGCGCGTTTTTCGATGAAAATGAGCATTTTTCAACCTTTTTCATGCGTTTTCTTGAGAATGATTGATGTGTCTGACATTGCCTGGAAGGATCTGCCTGGAAGCGCCCAGATGTTATTCAGTAAGATCGGTCAAGAAACCTACAGTGATTATGAAAAAAAGAACCAAAATTGGAATGATAGAATGAATGACTTTACAAGAAACTTAAATGATCACTTTAAACAACATAGAACACTATATGCTGAAGAGAAAAATATAGCAAACAAGGAGAAGATAGAAGACCGCAGGGGCTTATGGAATGCCTATTCATCACCAAGTGCTTTTTACAAAACAAGTAAGACTTTATACATAAGTGGCACAGATGGTTGTGATGGATCTTTAACAAGGGATATTATGGATGATCTGTTATTAGTACCTACTAGAAATGTTCATCACAGTGAGAAATACAAACATGTTATAGAAGAATTGGAAAAGTCACCAGAAATAACCCGTTTGGTTGGGCATAACCTTGCAAGTGCTGTAATAAGATCAATCAAGAACAACCTAATACATTTGCTACAACAACCTATGCTACCCCTACAATAAAAACAAAAAGGAAAGGAACAAAAGTCCCAAAAGACTTGACTACCGCAATCCATCCGATATTGTTTCAATGTTGGATGGTTACGCTGTAACTTTTGATTTGAAAGAACCTAACCCTTTAATGAGCCACAGCTATATCAATTTTGAAGGGAACGGCCTTTGGAACATCAATCCCGGCACCAATATAAGCAATGGATTTAACCCCAATCACTCATTTAAAAAACAACATTTAAACTTAGTTAAAATATGTAATGTTATGGTGGATTACTCCAAGGCAAAATTTTACAGAATACTAAATGACAAAATGACGATGTCTATATTGGTGCTACTTGTCTGCCATTGAGTGTTTGAATGGCAGGACATAGAAGGGGGCGGAATGGCAAAGATAAGAAACATTACAAATTGTTATCACACAATCACCCAAACATTCAATGCTGGTGGTGGTGAAATTAATATGAATAGTGTAAAATCATCTTCTAAACTGACTGGAGCATTCATTACCTTATTCAGAACTCCAAGGAGTGGTGAATAACTGAACCGATACTTACCTGACAATTATGTATATAAGAGATGGAATTAATCCTATGATCTATGGAAGAATTAATGATACTGGTAATGCTGATACAAATGACTTACAAGGTACAAAGGTATTGAAGATGCCACCCGTAGTTTAAGTTGGCAAATTCAATTAAGCAATTCCCAGAAATACACAGAATTTGAAGCGCAATCATTATCATAAATCTTTTACTATTTAAGAAGAGCTATACAGTACATGACAGTTTAAGTTTTTCGTATCGTCAATACAGAAAGAACAAATTCATTATTGGTATGTCATTTGAAAAAATTGCAGATGTCAATTTTACTGGTTATAATTCTAAAATGTCAGGTATTACCAATTTTCGAGTTAAAGGAGCAGAAGGAGCATTGTTAGACCCTAATGAACAAATCACTGAGGGTTTCAGAGACTGTTCTGGAATTGAGAGAAAGTGGTAGTATTGTCTACTTCCAAGGAAATTGAAAATTTAAAACATCCCAGGAAATCAAAAAATCCAAAATTCCAATTTTCCAAAATTCCAATTTTCCAAAAAAAACCAAAGAAACCAAAAAAACCAAAAAAAAACAATTCTGCACAGACCATGGGGGGAAGAGGGGGTGAGGCAAAGTCCTGGCACAATTGGTTTTTTTGGTTTTTTTGGTTTCTTTGGTTTTTTTGGAAAATTGGAATTTTGGAAATTGCCTTTGGGGGAAGGGGGGGTTGAGGCAGAATAGTATTCTTTCAGTGGCACAAAATCAATAGAAACGCAATACAAATATAGAAACAAAATACAAACAAAATGAAACAATGCAAAAACGCGCCGCTCAGAGCGCTCCTTTCTGATAATATTTAATAACATGTTGTCGTACCTAGCATATAGAATCAACCAAAGCAAGAATCAGATCCACTAGGACCCGATAGCCCGCAGGAGTCTGAATCTCCAGCTCTTCTTCGCCACGCAGAAGTGCGGCCTCGAGCTCGTCAGAGGCTGTTGAGGTGAATGGAAGCCATTCAGAGGTCAAGTGGCCGGAGTCCACGGGTTCACTCTCCTCGATGAAAAGTGCTGAAAGAAACTCTCTGCAAAAGAGAGTCCCCCAAGGGCTGGGGAGGTGATCGGCTCTGGAAAAAGAGCAGATTCCAGCCATGCATTTTAACATATCTATATATTTTAATAACTAATTGTTCAAATCGATCCTAGAATCTCACAGACATGTCCAAGAAGTTGTGATTTTAAACGTCCACTTGTTGTTTCTGTACTGGATTATACTGGTTCCCCAAGTTCACGAAATTCCAGGCAACAAACATCTCAACCTTATCAGACCCAAGTCAAGGAGTCTAAAGCTTGTAAAGCTCAACATTCGTCCCAAGTCACTCCTTTTTGATGAAACATAATAATATAGTCCTTCAATTAACAACATCTCCAAGTCTCATAAAACCACGAGCCTTTCGCCTCACTCGCTTGCACCAGCCGCTCCGCCAGCCGCAAACAGGCCTCCTGCTCCACGGACCTTGCGGGCCGCCGCTCCGCCGCGCGCCGCGCGAGGTCCGCGGGCGTGGCGAGGCCGTGCGGGCCGGCGCCGGCGCCGGCGGCCAGGAGGAACTCACCTCGAGCAAAGGAGCGGAGCCAAAAAAAGGCGCGGACCTTGGGCCTCTTGGAAGTGGGATGTATACGACTTTTACAGAGTCATGTCAATCACACAGGAAATCCGCGATGGAGTATACGGTCCCAACTTGGCGGATCTAATCGGTCGAAAACAGCGGATGGTGCCCAGTGACAAATGTCCACTCGGCCCATTCCAGCGGCACTGTGCAACGGTGTCATCTGCTGCAGGTTGGCCGCATTCACATCGCACTTGGCTTCCACAAGGTCAGAGACCAAACCAACCGATTGATTCGCCGCAAAGTGTAAAGCGCTGAAACCCAAGCGGTCTCTCATCAGCACATCTGCTTTTGCTTTGAGAAGCAGTCGCACTGCATGTCTGTGACCGCCGGAGGCTGCACGGTGTAGGGGAGTGTACTTGGGATGTAGATGGTCCCTTTCGTTCGGATCACCTGACTGTTGGAGAAGAGTGCTAAAGTACAGTCAGTACAGCAGCTGCGGGATCAAAGGCTGGCACTAGTGACGACGTTTGGCTTCAGGGGCACTTGCTATCCATTCTTGGGGTCTGTTTCGTCAGCTACTCCGGAGCTTAGGGCACAATATGGACACATGAATTTGGCGACTGTGATCGAAAGAGACCTGTGATCCAAAACTTTGGAAGAGCTTTCTGCTTCTTTGGTGAAATGCAAAAGCACCGAGTCTTTCAACCTTGAAATACCAATTGCAAATAACTAGCAAACAGCTCAATGTCTGTTTTCGTGGTACCAGGATACCTTGGTTGACCCACCAACAGTGGTCATTCACATGGTGGACTGATGGGGCTCCCGGTGGTCACCGGGTCGTCCCCTGGAGCAGTTTTTCACTTTATGGGCCTCCGTCCAACAGCTTCGCCATCATCACGTTGAGATCTCCCTTCCGCGCTGCTTCGCCCAGGCTTTGCGCCGCTGCGTGCCAACGGGCGCCAGAGTCCTCGAGCAAACACTGCAGGTCGACGCGGAACAGCTCCGCCGCGGTGCTGCAACGCGCCCATTCCACCTTGCGCAACGCGCAACATGGAGGGAGTCGAGATGTAGGAGCGCGAGGATTTCGACATATTTTTCAAGGAAACGTGCATATATGAGAAAAGGGCCTTAGATTTTTGAAGTTGATTGAAATGTACCTAGCATCATAGCATAGTCTCGTTTGGACCGATATATCCATAACATTAATCTCCAAGGCTTCAGCGATCATCAATGTGTCAAGAATGAGAGCGCATGACGAACATGGTTGTTGCTTCTTCTTGAACCCGGGGGAGTTATGTGACAGCAACAAACCATAGCCGCCCCAAACCAACTTCAGTTCTGAACACTAAGAAGTTACCATGCAACCCAAAAAAGATCCCCCCACCCGCCCTACCCAATCAGATCCAAAGCGATTTTTCCTGACGCACCTTCACAAAAATATGTAAAACAATATAAAACACATGTTCCTGGTTCTTCAAAGTGACCTTTTGATATCCCTGTTTGAGGTCACTTGGGCCTGTAAAAGGTCGCACTCCAAAGAGGTCACTTTGAAGAAGCTGGTTCAAGAATATGTTTCATTTCAAGTCCGAGGCGCCGCAGAAGTGAACGACAGAATCCTGCATAGGGCTCCACCAGGCAGTTGAATCAATCCACTCGATTCACTCGATTCACCGTCCGCCATTGCTTCGGACTGATCCGGACCGACGTCTTCGGTTGGGCTGAAGAGCGAACGAAAGCTTAGAAACGAGTGAAAGAAGCTTCGAAACGCTGGTCTTCATGTGGTCAAAACGAGACTTCTGGATAACAACTGGTCCCATCGTGGAAATCGGAATTCGATTTCATAAAGACCGGGCATGAAATCGGAAGACCCCAAAAGACATGTTGGTGAAGTCCACTCCATCTTCCGATTCGATGGGAGCGTATGACCCCTTCGAATTCATGAGAACAATGAGATCCTTCAGTCTTCTTGCTCTAAGCAATGTGAATGAGATTGCAATCAGCAACAGGAGCAAAGAGTTCTTAAGCAGCTAGCAGTTCAGCTACAATGCTAGTGACAGACTTCTCCTATTTCATGATTTTACTGCATCTGCTGCTGGGCATCCATGCTTAGCAATGCTTTTTGGATAGTGCTCTGAATGCGCAAGCAGTGTGTCTTAAGTTTGCTTCCTGCACAACATGCAGCTACAAAACGTCACATGTTCGAGGACCTGTTCGGGTGTGAGGGTCCAGGTGACATCATTGCATCTGACATCATCTTTGTTTTTGACAGAGAAAGTGGGTGCACGGAAGAACTGGTTGATCACAAAGAGCATGGACTACCACCTACACCCAGTAGCATGGTCTTGGTGCTTGCACCAGCATTTTGAGCCCAAAATGTTTCATCGTTCAATCTCCACAAAGCCATGCAGCGGCGTGCCGAATGCGCCGAGTTCAAAAAAAGCCTGACTCGTGGACGAAAACACTGCGTCAAACTCACAATTTGTCTATCTTAATGATCAATTGATCAATTTCTGCCCATCAGCTTTCTAGGTGAAACATTGAAACATCAAGAAAGAACATGACTGCGATTCTTCATGTGCTTAGGTTCGAAAACACCGGCTGTCCCTTTGGCCCTTTGGGCGACGAAAACACCTCGCGCCTCGGCCAAAGCATCTAAGCGGCGACTCGCATTGAAGCGGCGGCTTTGGTCGGAAGGCCCTGAGCTGATGATGCTGCGGAACGAGGAGGCATGATGATGCAGAGCCTGGGTGGAAATGACTTTGACCTATAGCATCATCATGGCTCCATCAGGAGAATCAGGTCTCATGCAAAAAGCAGTGCATCTTCCTTGACTATATTTATTTATGCTTGACTCCGGCATCAACAAATGCTCAAGCGTCGTTTGTATTCCCATCTCGGCCTCCCTCTGTCAGGATATCCAAATAGACCTCTCGGAAGGCGCGCCAACGCTCCTGAACTCGATCTTGTGGGGGGCCAGCGCGAAGCAACGCGAAACGACGCGAGCGTCACAACTCTTGACTGTGGTGGTTTTGCACTCGTTTTTCCGATCTTTTAGAAGAGACGCCACACCCAGACACAACTAATGGGACTGCGGACTGCCGCCCCAGACAGACCCCCAGTCAACCACCCCGAACGCCCGTTTGGAAGGCAGTCCGAATCGGCAGTCCAGACTCGTCGCGTCTGGGACATGTCAGGGGCACGAACCGGAATAAGAAACCTCTAACTTGCCCACCGGTGGTTCATTGCCTTGGATGTTGAAACACCAGCTGTCGGCCGTCGCGCTCGTCCTCAAGCTCCTTTAGGTCCATCCGGGCAAAGCCCCGTGCTCCTGCGGTGCCATCAGGGTGGAAAGGGAACACTGATGAGCCATGGTGAGAAGGGGGAAGCGAAAGCTACTGGAAGCTGCCGCGAGACTGGACACTTCGGAGTGCCGAATCTTTTGTAGAATGAGAAGCCAAACAGACCTATGATGCAAATAATGCCGAGGCAGTTAATATGACATCGTTTGCATCACGAGCTCACCAAAAGCACCAAACCCGATAACCATTAACACCATGAGGTTCTGCTTTTCCAAGTGTCTCCGATTCCACGTGTCTTTTCCCCTTGGTTTCTACCTTTGTTCGCCTCAAAAAGCTTCAGCGAAACGCCCATCAACTGGCTTTCGTAATCAAAATTGTTTCAATGATTCTCAGTCCTTTGCCGAGCGCCAAGACAATGCTTCTTGGAACAAAGGCTGTGTCAAACATGTTATTTTCTAGCGAATCCAACCAGTCTGTCCTAAATATTCAACCCCGGGGTTCTTTTCTTCCCCTTTTCCCCACCTCCCCAACTCCGCAACCAGTGAACAACCACCACAAAACTCAACCCTAAACAGCCATATATAGCTGTGGCTCATGGATGTTCATGGATAGTTATATGGTACTAGGGGTTACTAGGGCACCACGGCCTACCCTTTCCGCAGCACGGCCGGGAGCCGTGCGGCCGGCGCCTTGACCCAGAGGTGATCGGAAGCGCGTGAGGCGAGACCACCTCGCGAGCGTCCGCGGGCTTCGGTTGCAGCGATGAGCCAGGTCAACCGAAGTCTCTTGATGGTTGAACTGAAGGCGAACAGGCATATCCATGGACATGTCATCTGGTCATCACCATTCAGCACTGGTGCCACCGCGGTTCTCCCCAGACGTGGCACCACGGTGTGGCATCAGGTGGCTTGGGTTTCCGCACGCTTGTAGAGCATCTTCCAGCTTGGCCTGCTGCGGCGTGTGCAGCGGTGGTCGCACCTGGAGCCGGCCGAAGTTCGGACATGGGCGCTGGGCGTGTGGGGTGGCATGGACACTGGGTGACACAGGAAAAACGTGCCATCCAACACTCAGAACATGTTGTTCAACTAGTGACAGCTGGGCTCAATTAGTTGTTTTTTTTTGCAAACACACCTGACGCGTTACGCAGGACGCCTTACGCAGCACACAAGTAACGCGTCCGGACGCGTTACTTACGCGATGGAAGAGATCCTTCCAACCGCCCCCGGCGGACCGAGCAACGCCGGTCGAACAAACGGCTCTGGTGCGCCGGACCCAAAAGCGCATACACATCATCACCTGAAAGCGCAGACCCATCTCCTGTGCGCCAGCGCTTCTTCTCGATGAGTCGACGCGTCTCGGGGGGGGTTGGTCTGGTGACCCCTAGACTGTGAGACTCAAACTCTTTGACCAGGTGTAGGTGGCGTGTGCCTGCTTTCAGGACGTTCCAAGTTTTGGAGGAAACAGCATGAAAAATAGATCAGGCCCTGCAAATACTTGTCTGATTCTTCGTTTTTGAGCGGAGTCTGAGTGCAAAATCAATTAGCTGAGTGCAAATACTTGTCTCAGTGCGCAGTCCTCTGCTGTGACTCCGTACTCCTCGAAGGCTGCAGGAACAGCATCAGTCATCTTCTGGACGAAAAGTGACGGATCCACAATGCCTTGGCATCACCGGTCAAAGCAACTTCATGTCGATGCTTGATTCTATTTCACCGCCCCATAGGCCCCATATGAAGATCGATGGGTTCAAATCCATGTGTATGAATCAAGAGAGTCCACACCGCTGGAACAAAAGTCCAGCATCTCACAGTTGGAAAACTGATGGCGTACAATGGCACTATGGCATACAACAATACGTATTCTGTTGAACAAGCATGGTTTGGTTGAACAAGCCTGTAGACCCTATAGACTATGCCAACGATGGTCAACGGCAGTCCAACTCCTGCCCATTCCCATGGTATCGCCCCATCAATGCTTCAAACCAAGGTGAATGAAACATGGTGAATGAAGCACTCCTTGCAGAAGAGTGACCTCCCATCTTCTGCTTGATTGACATCAGCATGAGCAAGATGTCCACCGCCCGGTCCAGCTCCCGCACCTTCCGCGCCGTCATGCACAGGCTCTGGATGCAAAGGCTCACCTGGTAAAACACCGTCCCCTTGCGGTAGAACGAGGCGATGCCACGCATCTGACGTCGGTCGGAACTCCGCAGCTCCGCAGTTCCGGCGTCCGGCCACTCCGCCGCTCCACTCCCGGCTCCAGCGGCTCCGGCCGCGGCCGGCGCGGCCGGCGCGGCCAGCGCCGGCGCCGGCGCCCGGCAGCGCCCTCGGGCGTCTTGAGACGTGAGGCACCAGGCCTCCAGGGCCCGGCGATGGCGTGGAGTCCATGACTCCAACAGGTGTCGACGGCGGCTGGCGGAGACCTTTTGCAAGAGAGCAAAGATCTTCTTCATCAAGAGATTCTTCTTCTCCTCGGACCACTGGATCCTTCAGGTGGACAAGGAGCATGTGGAGAAAGGGACCATGCTGGGTTTCGACCCAAAGGACCGAAGATGCCCCAAACAGTCAGCCCTCAGTGAGTTCAATTGGGTGTCCGATGGACATCAATAGATTTCTCAAGAATATCCCAGTCATTCCCATTACCTCATTTCCTCAACTGGTCATTCAAAAGGACACCTGGTTTATCTGAGGCTTCATGAATTGAAGCACTTTCCAAAGCCAGACTCCTCTCCACACCTTTCAGTCTCCGAAGAGAAAAACCAGTTCCCACTCCCATCAGTCTTCCCATGTCTTTTTTGACGTTGAAGCGATCCGAGGTCTGAGACAAATCATATCCCATAGGGAAAACCACACAAACAATGTATATATAGATCCCATTGACTGTCATGTCCCATCCACTCTCTGAAGAAAACACATCAGGAAAGTCAGTCTCCAATACGCAATCCCATCTCCTCTTCATCTTCACTTCGTCCATCGACTTCGCATTCCCCGCTCCAGAAGCCCTCCTCACGCACAAATCACTCCGGGTCGAAAGCCGGTGTTTTTGGAGGCTCTGAGGTTGCCGTTCAGGCGTTCAGGCGGGTCCATTGTTTGGCAGGGCTCCCTACAAAACAAAAACCATGCACAAAGGCATAGACAAAACAACTATATGTCTAAGAAAACATATATATTAATATATATATATATATATATATTAGACCCTCCATTATGGAGGTCCAAGGTCCATATATGTTCCTTTTTATAGACGACCAGGTTGATAGACGACCAGACCACCGATGCGTAACGACCGCCGCCTCCCGCGCCTCGCCGGGACCCGGCCGGTTCGGTCGGCACAGCGCGCACGCGGATCGCCTCCGCCTGGCGGCACGGCGCTCGCTCGGGTTGGGAAGAGGAAGGAACAGAAGCACAGCGCATCATTCTCTTCAAGTCGCGTTTTTGATCAGAGGACAGCTGTGCTTCTGTTCCTTCCTCTTGTTTTTACACTGATTTATGTTACTTGGTGTCACATCCAGCTTCACCAGGTTTCAGCCCACAACACTTCTAGAAAATCGTCCATGTGGACGTGGAAGTTGAATTCTCCATGGCCCACACCTCCCTGGCCGACCCGGCCACCTGAGCACGAGCGCCCGCGCCCGCGGGAGCGAGGCGGAGTCGGAGCTTCGGCTCCTTTGGCCTGTGAAGCAGCCGGAGCATCCGATGAGTTCGGGGCGGAAGAAGGGATGAAGCAGTTCGTCTCCGTCTCCGTCTTCTTCCATCAACAAAGACAGAAAACGTGAAGAATGTGAAACAAATGTTTGCTCCATCTCGACATGGAAAGAATGATGCTGGGTACGATCTATTCGGTTTGTTCTGATCGACTCTTCGAGACGACGAATTCGGTCTTCGATCCGAATGACATCACCGGACCGGTCGCATGTCGCCCAGGCCTCCCTTCCAGCTCGGGATTGGCCTGGCTTCGTCCATGCGGTTCCCTATAGGTCCGACTTGAGGCCCGAGAATGGAGAATGGCCTGTCTCTTTTCGACGACACAGTGAAATCCGGCTTTCAAGAACTCGGAAAACCCACCGAACATGATCAGGTTCGCATGGAACAGGATGCCGACCACGGACGACGCTGGAGCGAGACAGACGCCACGTCTTCGGCCCAGACGTCTTCGGTGGATTTACTGACTGTCACAGGTAACAGGACAGACCCAACCCATACACCACTATAGTATCATCATTTAATAAGGAAAAAGATAGAGTGTCACCCATACAATATGGGTATAGTATCAACCCATACACCACCCATGGTGGTATCTGATCTACCTCTCTCTACCTCTCTCTCTTCTGACCCCCTTCGTCTCGCATCTTCAAAGCCTCGGACCCTCGCAGACTCGTTCGGTTCGCCTCCAGCGGCTCCAGTCTTCTGGAAGCTCCAGCGGTTGCGGCTCGCCTCGAGGGTGTTTGGCTGACGAATGGTGTTAGTTTTGTTGTTCGCCCGGAAGTCATATGATCCAACTAACTAGCAACTCACAAGAAGCCGCTTCGTTGTCTGTTGTCTGGGCTCCGCATATGCGCAGCTGAACACCAAAATTGACACGTCGTTTCTTCTTTTCATCACCGGCAATGGAACATGTGTGGGCCATGTGTTGTTTGGCACCCCTTTTTTTGTTGATGATGTTGGCTGAGAATGGCTATTCGACATCTTTGCAAACGGAGTTCCCAGTTGAATGCCCCAGCCTTTTGTAGCCTTTGATCATACTCTGATCTGCTGCTATCATCCGAAAGAACCTCAGAAGAAGTGGCAATTCATGGCATTTTGCAAGCAGCAAACGAGCCACACGGTTCAGCACTCCGGCCTCAAATGCCCGCAGTGCTCTCTGAAAGGCCTCTCGACTTCCAGCGATTTGGAAGATGATTTTCCATGAAGTGCTTGGGACACCCTCTAATCAGGAACGATTCATGGATTGGTTAAAGGCTCAAGGGACAATCTACTCCTGCAACTCCTGCGAATATTCCCTTAAACGATCAAAGAACATCCTTAAACCAATCCTGGGACTGGACACCCATGACACCCAGTCCTACATTGGGCCAGTGGTGGAGAGTTGAGCACTCGGAAGAGTAAACCCGCCTTCGAAAGGGTCTGACAGTTTGTATATATTTCTTGGGAGGATGGTCGAGCTGCCAATTGACGGTGTTTTACGAGACACAAAAGAGAGAGCCAAAATGAATGGCTCCCGAAATTGATACCTGGAGAGTTTGGGTGTGTGGCCAATATATCTGTTTGGTTCTATTTCTCCCACATCCATCCCTATAGCTCATCAACCTGCCAAACACTTCGACCATTAGCTGAAATCATCGGCCTCTTTCGAGCCTCCTTTATCAGGATGTAGCACCAGTGCTTGGCGCTTGAAGGCCTCAGAAATGGCTTGCCACCCCAGCGGGGTGAGAAACAGTTGTGAGTCGTCCCTCCCAACCTGCTTGTGCTGGCTAGCTGAGCAGCTTCGAAGCTGGAGTACAGCTGGTAAGGATCCAACGGCTTTCACTTCAGCGGCAGAAGCATGTGCATTTGTTCCAAGAACCTGAAGAGGACGCTACGAACGGGGCTCCTGGCATCGCTACTAGGAGCGATCGGACGCTACTAATTCCGGGCTCCTGGCCGTACTATAGGAGCAAGGATCTACAAACTAACAAGAAGATACAAGAAGCATTTGTTCCAAGAACCTGAAGAAGCGGCAGGCACCTTCTGAAAGATTGGAAGAACGATATCGCACGCAAAGCATTTGGTGCAGCATCTTGCCTCGTAGAGTGTTTCCACCCTCATGCTCATCAGCCTCAAAAAAACCTCGGTCAAAGGAGATCCACATTGAGCCCAGCATCAAAATCAAAAGATTGGTCTGCCTGACCCGTCGACCGTAGGTGAGCATTTTTTGTGCAAGCCAACTGTTAAAAATCCAAAATTGATACCCTGTCAACGAGAATCCAAACGCCACTTACTTGGTTCTAAATTGCAAACATGGTTCAATCTTGCTCAACACTTGCCTCACCCGCTCACGCACTCTGGAACGTGTCTGCTCTCTTGCAACATGTCAGAGAACCGCATGTTTCGCCACGCGCCCTGAGCTAGTCGCTGAGCGCCCGGGCCGAAAAAAGCTAAAAAAGTCACTAAAAACATCAGAAGTAAAGAAGATCGCCTCAGGCGCACGCGACCAAATCCCGACCCCCAATGACCCACGGAACCACACGGCATGTGGGATGTGATGGAAAAAGGGGCAAAGCGTGGGATGCACTCTCCTTCAGAGCCAGAACTCGTTTCAAATCTGATTCAACTGCTAACAGCGTGTTAGAGATATTGTAGTACGGTTAAAAACTATAGTCATAGTGTAGTGGATGAATATGAACTAACTATAATATTTAGGCCACCACGAATTAATGTCTCACACATCATCCACCTGCCATCAGCCAATTGTCACCCACCACAAACGTCAGGCTGCACAGTCGGATTGAGCATCGCTGGCCACGTGCACCTTGAATGAGGCGATGCTGAATGACACTCGAAAACGTCTGGTCCAGCAAAACGTCTGGTAAACCGAATTATGTAGAGTGTGGATTCACCAACACCCACCCATACTAAGTTGCAAAACCATTCCCCAGACCATGTACGACCTATTGACCGATCAGGCCAGGGGTGGTTGTGGCCAGGGAGCAATCGATCGGCATAGATGCCAGTTCCATGGAGTGTCTATGTATATTATGTACTGAATGACAGGAAAAGAATCGGCTCCAACACGCTAATGATTAAATCCTTTCGACAGGAAAAGACAGGAAAAGGACAAATACTCTCAAAACCTGTGTCCCCCCTGAAATGGACTTGAAACGATGACATCGGTGAGATTCGGTGAGGTTTCGTGCAAATAAAGCAAACAAATAGCCTGAGAGTCGCACACTGTCCTTGGTGGTGTTTCGAATGACAGGAGCTGGCCTAAGTGGTCCATGTTGCTCAGCTCGAGTCATCAAATGCCACACGATGAGAATCATGTTCAGTGCATCTCTGTCACCAAGCTCCAAAGCCAAACACTCCGGACTGGCATATGAAACCGTTCCGTCATCCGACGCTTGTCAATCAACCACCCTAACTGATCGTCGGACAAATATGCCAATCACATGGAGGAACGGCAGGCCGCCATGGGAACTGCAGCTGAGGAGCATGGTCGAGGTCTGGTACCTGGTCTGCACCAGTGACTCCAGAAGCGTCATTGATTAAATGCTCGCAGTTGTGTAAATGTTCAATGCTCGTGGTTGGGGCTCCGTAGATGCTCTATATGGTTGAGTAGACCCATCCAACTAATGACTAAAAACATCATGGGTCGATTTTCCGATCCTTCCACCGGGTCGATCTGGGAGGTCTTCCTACTTCAGGTCGACCGTCTTTGTCCCGCCAAGGCGCTTCATCTTGAGGTTGGAGGAAGGCCGGAAAGGCGCCGAATGAGGCGATCAAGGGGCCTTGGAAGATGGTTTGTTCATGCAGCGAACGGTCCGTGGCTGGTAAGTCGAATTATGTAGACAGTTGAATAGGGGACTTATGTATATATATATATATATAATCAACTGTCACAGCTGATGATATAAATACGTTTAAATGCTCCTCCCCTATGAACCATATTCTACAGGTGCGGCGGCATTTATTTGGTACTAAACTCAAATACACTATCTATTATGTGGGGGCCCGAGCATACCGTAGACTACTTAAGTAGAGCATCAAATAAAAGTGGTTGCTCACAAGTTCTACCATTCTGGTAGAGAGTGACATTGATTCATCACCATTCATCAACCAATCTACGTCCGACACGACCCACACGACTCACGTGTCCTCCAGAGAACCTATCGCCGTCGAGTCCGACGCTGAGCGTTGCTCCAAGTGGCTTTCTGCTGCCGGAGGCAACGAGATCTTTGAGCCCAAAGGAAGCCCAGTTCGAGTGGCCAAATTTGGAGATCCTTCATGTTTGGGAGAGACCCGAAAAAGAGAAGTGAACGGCTCAATGGTCCCCCATCAGTGGTACCATTTTATTTTTGTGAGGCTGGGAGCCAAACATGAGCCGTTGAGCATTTGAGCCACAAGTTCTGGGGGAGCCAAACATGGCCAGAACTTGTGGGATCTTTGGGGGGGTTTGTCTCATGGGTTCGACTGATCGCGAGTAGATGCAGTTGGCAAAACTGTTGGTCAAAACTCTCCTGTTGGCCTAAAATGATCTGTCACTACTGGGAGAAAAACAATATGTATAAACTACATGGATCACTTGATCACTTTTGAATACTTTTGAGAGATCTACGAAATACCCCCACCTAAACCAGTGAGATCTTTTTGTTCTGCCTACTTTGCTCCTTTTCACCCCCCAACTGATAGAACTCACCTCTCCATGGTGTATTTAGGATACCCTCCATGAAAATACGTGTACTACTATAGATCCAACCTTCCGACTATCGCAGCAGTTGAATCACCAAAACACCACAAACCAATCGCCAAAACACAGCTGTGCCCACTTTTCGCGCACCAGCATCCGAGTCTTTTCGTGTTAGAACTTGAAACATCTAAGTCGCCAGTTCCATGGACAACACATGACTTCTCACGATACATTGGACTTCTCCCAAGTTGCCATGAACCCCTTGGACATCACATGAACGACCCAGTCGTGTTGTGAAGCTGATTAAGAACCATGCATCCTGTTATCCTGATCACCCAACTTCTGCAAACAGCCATTTAACTATATAGCTATGCCATGCTATGTCCTTTTTCACCACGCTGGAGCCGACCACACACGCACCGCGGCCCAGTGCGCGTGGGTGAACGAGGGCCCTCATCCATCAGCCCATGGCGCCGGGACCATCGCCGTGATAGGCCCGGAGTCGAAGACTGCTACCTTGTACCTGCAGAGGGAGAGTAGAAACAAGAAGCTACTAGTAACAAGTGCCACGCTAGTAGTAACAGGTGCCTTACTAGTAGTAACAATGTTTGCTATTAATTTAAATTAAATGAGAGTATATGGTCTTGGTCCCCCGGATGCCTGGCTGGATAGCACCGGGCGCTGGACCTGTGGACATGTTCCAGGTGGGGATCTAGGAACTTCTATGGGGAGGAGTACATGGACCCTATATGGTCCCCTATCATAGATAGGATGACACGGGTTTCAGCTGAGTATCTAGGAACTTCTATTTGGGGACAACTATATCAAATTAAATTTGGGTGTGTATATATTCTGAGGATGGTCTTGGAGGTGAGCACGTACCATCCTTCAATCATCCTTCAATCCAATTTTGTCATTCCTCCATTCCTGGATCTTCCAACGCAGAATATCTGCCTTTTCATCAACACCAGCCAAGTTCGGCTGCATTTTTACAGGTATCGCCACAGCCACGATATGGAACGATGTGGAACGGCGCGATACCTGCCTGGTATGATACGTGACGGTACGTGGCACGTGTCAAAGGAAGACCATTGAAGACCAAGATTAGGGATGCTTTGGGGTTCGGACACTGTCAGTACCTTATTCCTTTTAGATCTTTTTAGCAAGAACCATATATGTATATAACTAACATCACGAAGTGGGAACACCAAGTTAAAAGATTCAAAAGTAGGTGTCAACTCCACAGTCCCTTTGGAACAGGTGAGCTTGGACTTGTTTGAGAGGTCGACGACCATCCTTTGGATCAACAAAACCATGACGTCGTGCGGTTGACCAACAGGTATCCTCTTGCATTCATTGAATGTGTACTGAACCAACACCTCCACTGTATGGATTGGAGGCATCATCGATCCCAACCAAACGCTCCAACAAAACCGCCATCGTCGATCTCCGCGCCGATCTCCGATCGGTCACGCGTCGATGGTCCAGTTCTCGAACGGCGATCTCCGCGTCATCCCTCACCTGGCGGTGATGGAGGCGGTGATGGAGGCGGTGGGGCGAGGTTGTCTCGCGAAAGAGCAACTGTGGAGCGGACTACAGTGGTTTCAGAGTCGATAAACACTGGCACCCAAAAATGTCTTTCATATGGGGGGTCCTTCTAAACCACCAAACTTGGGGATTGTGCCATCTGCTCTGAAACCACTGTCCACTGTATGATCATTGCTACATATTGAATCGATCTTAATCTTATACTACAAATGTATCACATATCCCATCTTCTTCTCTCAATCGTGGCCCGGCGCCCAAGGTTCTTCTAAACTTCTAGAGGTCGGTGCAAACATGTTGACACACACACATTGCACAGTCGGACAGATTTCTATGAGCCTACGAGATCAATCATGTGTAGACTGTTGACTATTATTTAAAAAAAAAAAACACTATATATAGACAATATGATGAGGTTTTACCATGAGAGGTGTCCGATTTAATCCATGCTTTTGTCACCTTATTTTACGGCAACGACCGTGCTGTTCCCTTGCGACCCGACCGTGTCGTGCGACCATGACTCGGTCCACCCACCCCATCCGTCGATTCGGCGCTTCGGAATGAGGGAGAATGTGTTGGAGGTTTGACCATCCCCAAAATGGGTTCGGGCTAATTCCATTCCTCAACAGCCAGCGTAAACGTCCCGTTGTTGAACTTCTGCCACAGGTGTGGCGCCGCGGCCATGGGGTTCTCGATGGTCCAAGTGTTCTCCATTTCACTGGCGGAGACAACTCCCAAAACCCGGCGACACGCGGCAGATGACCCCCCGGCAGATGACCAAACAAAACGTCCCAGAAAGAAACGGATTAGGTCCACATAATGGCACCACAGATGTTCACATGGAATGCAACAATAGAAACAAACACCAAACATGAACATGATTGACACATCATACGCCCGTTGCGGTCCAGTCTATCTACCAGCGACTCGATCGTTTCTACCGTCTTCCGAAGAAGTCCTTTTCCTTTTGACATCTTTTGACCAAACCACCAAGCTCTGTCCCGACCTGGGTGCCGTCACTGCTGGTCTCCTTCACTGCCGAACTTCGACAGATCCGGACCGTCCCGCGTCGTCGAGACACGTCCCGACCTGGAACTCCAGCATCCCGTAGTAGACTCCTTTCACCTGTCGTCCCGAGATCGCGGTCGCCTCGCTCGCCTTCCCACCGTCGGTCGGTGGCCCGCGCGTTTGCGCGGAAGAGAAGCTCGGCGCGACGCCGGGCTCCCGGGCTCGGCCAGGCTCCGGACTCGGGGGGATCTGGTGGAACATCTGATGAAGACGGACAATCCCGGGATTGCATGGTGCTCAGCTTGCGATCGGTGCGCTGAGCCACTGGTGCTCATGTTGCTTGGAATCCTTGATCGTTGGATGGACAGTGTTGAAAGAATGAACCAAGTGTGATTTTGTTCGGAACCCTCTGGTGACACTCCTTTAAATTGACAAGAGCTAGCATTGAAACTCATTCCAAAGAAACAAGACCTAACTACACCTGAACCCCAAATACAATTCAATATGGTGGCTCCACTAGACTGATGTATATAGTTGCTTGAAATACATTGTTTTCAGAAGCAAGACCAAAAAACACCTGAACTCCAAAGAATTCGGTGGCTCCAACAGACTGGCTTTTGTTGGGTGTGCTGCTACTGTTCGTAGCTTCTTGTTACTAGTAGTAGTGGCCTCCATCCTACTAGCAATGGCCTCCAACCTAATAGCGATGGCCTCCACCCTAGTAGCCTCTTGTTCCTATAGTAGCAAATTGGCTACTATATATTTCAGACCAACTGGAAAATGACATTCTTGGGAATTTCATCTGGGAGGCTGCCAATCTCCAATCTCATCCGCACTCCAGTTTCTCTCCACATCCCGCACATGAACCACATCCCGCCCATTCTCACTCACCTTGTATGTCTTCGCGAAAGTCACTGATGGGCCAAAGTCCTGGCACTCCAAAGTTTTTCGCAAGAATGAACGGATGGTGACTCATGAACTCATGAACTGATGGTGACTTTATTCTGTTAAGTGCTTTGTTAGTTCCAGGTAGCACAGGATCTCTTCCGGTTTTCAAACCCTTGTGTCTCGCCTTGCCCAAATCCTTCAACTCCACCCTTGGCTGCTGCTGGTAGGCCGGTGCCGTGTGGGACCCTCCGCGCGCTTTTGGGACCTACATAGCCTACAGGACCGATCCTACCAATCCTACATTAGGGCGGTAGGTTGAAAAGGGATCAATGGTGTACAGGCATTTGTTCTTGTCCAGTCCGATAGATGGTCTGGGCTATAACCAGCCTAGGTGTTAATTACACGTTCGTAAAAGCAGCGTGACTGGATGGCCGATGGCCTATCCGAATCTGAAGGATTGACATCTCAAGCGGCATGCTTGTGAGGCTGGTGCGGCTTTCTCAAGCCAGCGCGCAAAACCAAAACACGCTGGTCTCTTCGCGGTCGCTTCCATCGACAGGTCGTGTGGCTCACGGATTGCTTCACATGTAGCTCGACACACTAGGATTCCCGCCAAGTCATATCATCTGGTAAATTCTCCACTGTGATCTTATGCCTGTCACCATGGGCTTCGCCACGAACGAGTCTGCCACGAACGACCACGTCGGGCTTGAAAACGTCGCGTTCCCGTCGCGTCGTACGTCTTGCTGCGCAGCTGGTGAGCGCAGCTGGTGGTCGTCCCCTGCCTCCCGATGGGTATTTTGTTCGGATCCTCACAGCAACGACACACGTGGCGTTGGCGTGGCGTTGGACGTCGGCATGGCGAGTTTACCCCAGAAGCAACACCACCGGATTCGCCCAATGGACACCCATGGCGAATGGACACAACTGACACCACAACTGACACAACTCACTGACACAACTCTTCAGATTCTTTTTTGGTCAGCTAGCCTTGCTGGATCCTGGTGAAGTGTTTGGAACTGAGAGTTGTTGAAAGAGGCTGAGGTTTTTTGTTGGATATAAACTAGAGTAAGAGGCTGAGGTTTCTATTGAGCTCTTTTGAATATAGACTTATATTGGTGGATATAAACTATGTTTTTAAGAGGCTGAGGTGTTTTTGTTTACTCCAAGTGGTCAATCACTCCATGGACATGCCCTCCCCTCGGTGGGAGAGCGAGAGAGGAAACACCAAAAAAGGAAACCGGTGAAGCTCGCGCTTTAGGTAGGCTCCTCTCTGCTCCTCTCTTAAGGTCTCTGCTCCTCAAAATGGCCTCAAAAACACATCAACCAACCAACCAACAAGCACCCCACAACGGGTTCGCACCCGTCCACCCGGCCGTTCACCCACGTCCTCCACCCGTCCGGGAGACCCATCCGGTCGACGTCTCGTCGCGCGCGGCGTCGCGGGTCCCGGGTGTCGAAGTCATCCCGGCCACGGCCGCCTCGGTGCGGTGGTACCGTGGTGATCGGGGTTCAACCAGGTTTCTGTGAGCTGCGTGGTGCGTGCGGCGTGTCGGCTTCTAACACCCCCCAATGTTGTGGCTTGGACATGGGCGATTGAAGAATGAAGTGTTGCTAAAGAAAAGTGTGAAAACGGATGAATGCAAGTTGAACGACATATGTTTGGTAGCTCGGCTTCCCAACAAATGCATCGCCACTGTTAGCTGAACGCATGCCGAACGAATGGCAAAATGTAGCAAACAACCACCATTTCTCACAAACTCCCAAGACGACCCTGTTTCTTTTGTCTGTCATTGTTCGGTCCACGCCACACCCACCCTACTTCCAAAGCTCATCCCCTACTACGCCGCGCAGGGGTATACAGTATACGTGGCAGATTGGCAGATTCCCCAAAACAAAACACGCTCAAAGCCACGCTCCGGAGGCCCTCTGTAGTACCTGGGCTGCGCTGGATGTTCGCAGCGGCTCGAAGCCGACTCGGCACGTCGGTGGGTCTACCGACATCTCCCTGCGGCGCTGTTGGCGAGGGTTCTAGAGTGGCTCATCTCCATTCGGAGCGCTTATAGAGATGCTGAAACCCCCTCCCCGCCCCAAAAAAGACAACTCAAGGGAACACCACCACCTGGCTGATGGCGGCTCGGTCTTCGACCCAGTCCGCCTCCGCCTCCGCCGGTTGAGACCCAACTGTGCCACCTAAATAGTGGAGATTGCTGTGGAAACCTACCGGACTACTAAACGTCTCGTCGCGCCGTGGGTCAAGACCCAGCGCAGCAAACGACGAAAATCGATAGACCAGGAGTCGAGTCGGGAAAGACCTGGGAGTTTGAGTCACTCAAGATCAGGTGATCCCACAACCAGGTCTTTCCCAAACGGTTTCTAGCCTAAAATATCGGTTTTCCCTTGGGATTCAGGTGATCAACGGCCAGGAAGCCGCGTCCTGAATCCAGCCCCGGCCGAGGGAGTCGTCCTACAAAGGTGGCTGAGTCGTCCAGTCGGCCCGAAGCATCCCAGGCTGCTGGGACTGGTTGGTCCCATGCGTCCAACTGATCAGTGGGACTGGATGGAAGATATGCCGATCGATCGATCCCTAACCACCACCACCAGGACCAGAGTCTCAAGGGTACAGGTGGTCCATTCTTTTCAAGTGAAATCTTGGAATGTGTTGCAAAAAGCCATCCATCTAAACGACCTATCCCTCTATCCCTATGTTTGTTGATGTCATACACATTGCCAATGTGGTTGGTCACAAGGGATCGAATATGTATAGGCCGGTACCAAAGAAGGTGTGTTGAAAAGGGATCCAACCAGCGCCACCCCTTTCCATTCCTGGTGGAGAAGAACCTTAGAACATATTGAAATATATATAATACGACGGCTCAAGCAGTGCAACGATAATGGAAGACATAAAATTGTGCGAGTGGATCTTAATCAGCGAAGTTTGAAGCTATCACTGACGGTCCATAAGCGGCGTAGCGTCGGAACGGAAACCGCACCTTTTCTAGTCGCTTGATCCTTGAGCCAAAGTACATATGGTGTATATATATATGTACAAGTTGCACTGTACATGTCGCTGCACTTCCATTCGCACCCCCCATGTGAGCGGTAACAATATGTTCCGATCACACACGAAAATTTAGGGATGTAAGTGCTACAGAGAAACTGTATGATTTGCCGCGAGACTCATATGAGGCTCATACTACAAAACATGCTGGACTAAAGCGGACTTTTACATATAAAGTGTGCAACTATGGCTCAGAACTCTTAAAAAAATCGAATTGAACAAGTGAGACAGTCACGAGGCCTCGCTCAGTATCCACTCAAAAGAGCATCGCTTTGATGTAGATCCGAACTGGTGACTTCCACGTAGATGTCACATCGGCAGCTGACTTCACACTTCTCAAAAGATGTAGGTTTTTTGATTTGGATACACTTACAGAACGGCAAGTCGGATATACAGTCGGTGACTGTATTCCTTCCATTATGATCATGGTATCAAATCAGATTGACGATTTGCAATGATACACTTACAACATTTCAGGTCAGATAGACATTCGGTGAATGACTTCCTCCCTGACTTGCATGGTATCCTCATAGTCGTTCAAAGAAATCACCACTGGTGATAACCTCTCCATCCACGATGATCCCAGCTGCCCTGAGCATCCCACCGATCATCTTCTCCCTTCTTGGACTTTCCTTTGGACTTGCTCTTTCCCTTTCCCTTCTCAGAAGGTTGAGGTACTTCGCGATGTTCTTGCGTCAGCGCTGGCCTCCAAGATGTTCCAGATTGGCCTCCTCCTTTGGAATGTCCTCGGGATGATGAAGAAGTTGTACCTTCTGCTGCACGTGCGTTGGCGGTAAGATCTTCCTCGGTTCTGGGTGTAGATGCTGGCCTTGCCTGCTTCTTCTTGCCCAGAATCTCCTTGGCCCTATCTCCAAAGCCTAGACGATTGGTAAGAGCTTGAACATGCTTATGTTCCACCACGCTCATCCATCTCTCTGTATGTCTAATGTTGGGGTTCCTGGCCATTGACTCTATGACTTCCTGAGCTTGTGGAGGCAACCTGATCTCATGTTGGTCAATGATCAACAGAATGGACTTCTCCCACTTGCTCTTCATTCTCGAGTACATGATGTCCAGAGGATCGATCACCTTGTGGTAGGGCGATGTAACGTCGGTTCTAAAGTAAGAATACGTCCGACACCCATAAATCGCATGGATGCACTTCTGTACCAATTCGGTCATTGCGCTGGCTTTCTTCGCTTTCAACTCCTCAAGCTGAGCATCAGTCAAGTCGGTGGAGTGTTCGAAGTTGCCATAATCCTCTTTGAAGGATTGCGGAGTATGACCAAATGATAGGATCATGAGTGCTACC